CGCCTTGCTTGAGTACCGGGTTCATGTCAGGAACTTTCTACTTTGCAAAATTCGCTGGCATGACAGAACCTTCTTTGGAATAATGCTCCCTCTTTAAACAAAATCCCACTGTGTTGAGATTTACAGATAGATATATATACATTTTGCTCTGTACTATGGCAGACACGGTGGTCAGGAGGCAGATACTAACTACGGTCAAGCTTTCCCAGCCTGCCAGAGCCTTTCCTGGAATCGGTGTTGTCACGGTATTGCCATTGGCGAGGAATGTCCACACAGGTCGGTTGACGAAGCAGGTCTTTTACTTTCGGCCATTTCCCTTTGCCATTAACCAAAGGAAGTGTATGAAAATACCTGTCGGTAGGTAGCACTGTAACTTGATTGTTAGTGATACAGTCAGGAAAGCTCGTCGAACCTTTCTTGGCAGCCTGTAAGAACCCAAGAACTTCCGATGATTTCATTTTTTATCATGGCGACGAAGTCCAACCAATGGTGGTGCAATATTTAACGGATGCGGAGGCTTTCTACCTTATAGGCACTTTCTCTTTGTCTTTACATTGTAACACAACATAGCAAATGTGCATTCATGGCGACACCGTAAACCCACCTCCCCGGCCGGCAACACGGCTACGCACCTGAAAGAAGCCACACAGGGAACGGCATTTCCATGGCGTTCACGGCGAGAGGTCGTCTGCAACGGAGCTTGAGTGTCTCCTCTTCGCACAGGGACATATATCAAGAGGAAGGGGAACGCTATTGCATATTTTTCCTTGTGTGTGTCTTTGTGGCTGTCTGTCTCATTAGTATGCCTTATCATCGCTTGTAATCTTTTTTTTCAGTTACAAAGAAAGCTCGACAGCCATGTGTTTGCTTGTGCATGTTTATGTGTATGAGAGTGTGCCCCCATACATACACAATTTCACTTACACACACACATTTATTAAATTTATTTATTTCTTGAACTTGTATTAACGTCTCTTAACATGAGTCATCTACATTATATTTAGATAATCAATTTATCATTCCCGGCAAAACCTGATAAGCTGAGGAACCCTGGTTGGGAAGCACTGCTGTGAGTGCGTGTTTGTACGTGTTGACTACGTATGTTGTAAAAACCTGTTCCATTCTTTTCCTTGTGCGTGCGTGTTTATATATATATATATATATATATATATATATATATATATATATATATATATATATATATATATATATATATATGTTAAAACTAGATTTATTGAAAGTGAGACTACAGTTCCAAACTCCACCTGGATTCCACCTTCAGGAAAGGGAGAGGAAGGGGTATAAAAGGTATATAAAAGTGAGAGGAGAGGCAACGCTTCCGTTCGTCTGTCCTCACCTGCCCCGTGTTACCGCGTTGCTTCTCCTATCTCTCTTTTATCCCCCCTCCTCTCCCTTTCCTCTTCAGACCTGAAGTTAAAATCCCAAAATACAAACTTACAAAACAGGGGATTTTTGCATATGTAAGAACGCAACACACTGTTTAGACGGCTTGAGAATGATCATGTGCAATTATTCTTAATATGAGACCTCTGCCAGGGAGGGGTGACGGTGGTGGGGGGGGGGGGTGAGCAGCGTGGCGGGCGGGACGAAAAGCTTAAATTTAGTCTGAATATTTAGATCTAGACTTTGGCTAGGTTTTCAGGATTTAAACGCCTCTATTTGGAAAATAATAATGTTCTAGGTTTTCTCTCTTCCACAAGTTAGTCCGCCAAGTCCTGGATATTACTTACAATTTTCATACCAAAAGTCGGCTTTTCATTTTAGTTTTCATATAACGTACAGTTTGCATGGTTTGCATTATTTACGCACAAACGTTGAATTGATTCATTAGACGTATGAATAGACTGTAGAAAGTATACAACGTGACATCTTCACGCGCCAAACGTTTCTGTCCTAAAAGTCATATGTTTTGTTGGCGATATCCAGCCACGGCGATTTAGCCCTTGGTGTCTACTATTTTATTCAAGTAGTAAGCATATCCTGCGTGACGTGTGCAAACTTGATAAGATTTTTTTTTTTTTTTTGCTAATGGCGTATTTTTTATTTTTGACATTCGGACAAAACTGGATTTCAGTGCGGGACAAGAACGTAAGAATAAATCGGTAAGTCAGTAAGTGTGATGCTTAAATGATTATAAGTATGTAAACAAGTAAACACATTAATTCATGGAGAATACAACAAGAATTTTCCTGATTTTGTCATACATGTTATACATTATTCAACATAACGATGAGGAGGATATGATAAAAATGGTTTGTTAGAAGGAAGGAAGGAGGGAGGGAGGGAGGGAGAGAGAGAGAGAGAGAGAGAGAGAGAGAGAGAGAGAGAGAGAGAGAGAGAGAGAGAGAGAGAGAGAGAGAGAGAGAGAGAGATACTACACAAACGAAATAAACATTTTACCTAATCCCTCAATCTAAACACTTCATAGACTGACGTATTTCTAACATACATATTATACCAACAATGATTCACGACGCAGCATTCATATCTCGAGATCTGGTTCAAAACGTATAGCGAGGGTTGGGCCTTATCATCATACAAGAACTGTTCGTGTTGCGTCTGTCTCTGTCTCTTTTTTTTTTTTTTTTTTTTTTTTTTTTTTTTTTTTTTTACTTTCTCTTTCTCTTTCTCTCTCTCTCTCTCTCTCTCTCTCTCTCTCTCTCTCTCTCTCTCTCTCTCTCTCTCTCTCTCTCTCTCTCTCTCTCTCTCTCCCTCCCTCCCTCTCTCTCCCTCTCTCTCTCTCTCCTCTCTCTCTCTCTCTCTCTCTCTCTCTCTCTCTCTCTCTCTCTCTCTCTCTCTCTCTCTCTCTCTCTCTCTCTCTCTCTCTCTCTCTCTCTCTCTCTCTCTCTCTCTCTCTCTCTGTGTGTTTGTATCTCTTATTGATTTTTTTTCTTTTCTATAAACTTTTCATTTTTTATTTAATCTAAGACTTGAGCCTATGACCTGTTCATTTTTCCTATGATATCGTAATAGTGGATCAAGTATTTATAAATAATTAAAATGCCGTAATTGACTAAACTTCACTTCGTTAAGTATTATTAGATTATAGGTATAGAGGTATATGGATAGCACTTATTTTGCACGTAAATAGCATGGTGCAATCACACGTTTGGTCTTCTGCACTGTAAAGAAAGAAAATTTAGCAAAAAGATATCACCTTTTTTCGGCTAAGCAAGTTATTTTGCGTATTTAACAGGCATGTTAATACTAGGTTTGTTAAATTTAACGAGATAAATACAGGAATGGCATTCACAATAACCAATGATAAAAGTTACTTAACCCAAAATTTCGGCTAAGCAATTTATTTTACGTATTTAACAGGCATGTTAATTCTAGGTTTGTTAAATTTAACGATATAAATACAGGAATGGCATTGACAATAATCGCTGTTAAAAAAAATCAATATACGACCTGTTCGAACGGGTATAGAGAAAGAGTTACGATACCAAACCGAACTTTTTAATGGTTAACATGAGAGAAAAGAGTGCAGTAAAAGCTTATTCATACACATCATTTTTTTCTACATTGTTTAGGAGCAGTGAATGATCGAAACTGTTTAAAGAAATAAAAATAAATTCTGAAACTGGAACTACACTGTACCGCGGAAGTATTGAACACTGGCGATTTTTAACTCCCACAGGCGTCGTTATAAGTAGACGACGGCTTACGTAGTTAGGTAGACTGGTAGTGTGTGTGTGTGTGTGTGTGTGTGTGTGTGTGTGTGTGTGTGTGTGTGTGTGTGTGTGTGTGTGTGTGTGTGTGTGTGTGTGTGTACGTGCGTGCGTGCGTGCGTGCGTGTGTGTGTGTGTGTGTGTGTGTGTGTGTGTGTGTGTGTGTGTGTGTGTGTGTGTGTCCATATAATGGGTTTACAGCACATCTGGAGCGACGTTCAGTATCTTACAAGACTCTCTCCCTCTCTCCCTCCCTCCCTCCCTCTCTCTCTCTCTCTCTCTCTCTCTCTCTCTCTCTCTCTCCCTTCCTCCTTCTCTTTCCCTCCCTCCCTCTCTCTCCCTCCCTTCTCTTTCCCTCTCTCCCTCTCTCTCCCTCACTCACTCATTCATTTCATATCCTCCTCATCGTTATGTTTAAGAATAATTTCATTCAATGTATGACAAAATCAGGAAAATTCTTGTTGTATGTTACATGAATTAATGTGTTTACTTGTTTACATACTTATAATCACTTAAGCATCACACTTATTGACTTATTGATTTATTCTTACGCTCTTGTCCTGCTTTGAAATCCAGTTTTGTCCGAATGTCAAAAATATGTTCAACAGAAAAAACACGACACAGCATTGGTATGCCCAGCCCGGAAGGAAGTAATTATTAAACGGTAACGTAAAGAACGTAAATACATGTGTATGTGGGAGAGAGAGAGAGAGAGAGAGAGAGAGAGAGAGAGAGAGAGAGAGAGAGAGAGAGAGAAACCAGTTCGTTTCTCCGCTCTCTTTTCTATGCGGATTTCCTTTTTACTAAGAAATTTTGTTTCGTCAACGCGATATGAGTAACATTACGTCATTATTTTAATTAATTATCATTATCATCATCATTATTAGTTTCATGATTGTCTGTTTATGGTGTATGAAGGATATATTATTTGATTTAACGTGCGTGTAAAAATATTGTAGATGATTCTGTATTGCAACGCGAATGTAGAATGTAGAATATTCAGAAATTTACATAACGTTAAAAATGTTCATTTCTTTATTCTCCCATTTCCTGTGTCTCCATTACGTTTCGTCTCTGTTTCTTTTTTACGTGTCTTTGTCTCCCCCCCCCCTCTCCCTCTTCATCCCTCATACAAATACGGTGTATTCTAAATTATTGTTTACTAAGTATTCTTATATTCATTTACACCCTACCATCGAACGTAACCAACGCATCCACTCCAACTAGCATCGTGAGTTTCAAAATTCATGTTAAGGAACGTACCAGAACACTATTCTATTTTCGCCCAAAACGTTTTGTACAACTACAGGCCCCGTCCCCAGACCCGTGGCAGAACGTATTGCACGCGTACGTATGTGTTTCTATATAGACACGGGACTTGTTCTAGTCGGCGGCAGTCTCCTGGTAAGCAGTGAGAAGGAGAACGCTGGGAAGAATTTGGAAATAAGTACTGTGGTCATATCAGGAAGACATTTTTTATCCCTTCTGACGACACGGAAAAGATCTAGTGCGCATAAACTGTGTCTTTTTCCCCCTGGAATTATAAATTTGTGGTGAGTGCTATTTGTGAATAATGTGTAGAAAACACTTTGGTAATAAGTTCATGATTCTCTATATATGGAAGTAAAATGGAAGTGACCATTTTAAGTGAATTACGTAATACCTTTTCGGAGTCGTTTGGCAACAATTATATTTACAATATATACAAATTGTTTATTTTTATTGACACCATAATCACTGTGTAACTATGGTGTCAAACCAAAAGATTTAAGCAATAATAAATTAAACGCAACTAAGCGTTATTTCGTGTATAAAACGTATTGCCCACAAATTTCATTTAAAGAAAATTGGTTCAGTGGAGGTGGGACTACGATAGAGTTATTGTGACATGAATGCACAGGAAAAA